GAATTTTCTTTTATTTTGGTAAATGCGTAAGACTGAAATGTTTTTAACAAAGAAATCCTATTTGGTAAAAGAATGTAAACAAGCTATCAACATGGATTAACTAATTCTCATTTTTCTCAGCTGCACATTCTGTAGCTGGAATGAAGTTAGCTGGAAAGGTATTTGTTTAGTAGCATTGGTGGCAGCTGACACTTTCTTAAAATCATTCATAACTTTCCATTGCTTGCTTTGAAAAATAAAACTAAACAACATAAACTTTCAAATATTATTGTGTCAGGAAGAGATGATGAGAGACAATTGGTTATTTTGCACTCTCAAGCCATATACAGTTGAGTCAAGCAGTGTTTGTCATGCGGTTTTATATAAGCTGCTACAAAGAGAGCTGTGTCTGAGGTCTCCTTTCTTATTCCAAGAGCAATTGAATTGTGGATAAGTTAGAAGGTACTTGAAGGAATTAAGATAGTTATTCTGGATTTTTCCTTCATTTTAGCTGAACGTTGGTTCCATGTGTTAGTGGTTAACTTGTGAGTTCACTGTTTTATAATGGCATCAATATACAATAGTATACTGGTCCATGTTTGGCTGTGGAGCGTTTGCTCTTGATGACTAGTTTTTAAGTCTTCGCATTAAACTTCTTAGACACTAAAGGCAAGTCTCGTTCTTTATTGGGTAACACTGAATGGTGATCTCTCTTTTAGCCCATTTGAGTGGGAGAAATAATAAGAGTAGTGTTCAGCCACAATTAATACTTCTTAATCAAGCTGCTTTTCAGGCACTTCTTTGTTTAAAAATAGTCTTTTTTAACTTCAGAATCTGTATGCCAAGAAAAGACCTTGAAAATAGCTGGTAAATGCTCAAAGGGTTGATTTTTTTGTTTCGTTTTTGAAAGGGGAGACGACCTAAGCATAATCCTATCAGTGTTGATTTTTTGGTTTTCATATGCTACATCTTATTTTCAGTACCACCGCAACTTTGCAAGTTGCATTAAAGGAGCTATTTTAATGTTTTCGATCTGTAGTTCAAGTGAAGACATTTATTTTATGAATGTTCATAGGGTCTGTGTTCCAATTAACTGATTTATGTTCTGTCACTGGCAAATTAAAAAAAAAGGATTCTTAATGTATTTTATTGCTGTGTTAGACAGTTGAAATTTCACTTAGGATGCAATAACCAGTGTTAAAGCAGGAAGCTAAAACCCAGCATTGTAGCAAAGCGTACAGAGGCACTTCGAAAACATCAGCAGTTTTGGGTGGGGTTTTTTTTTCCTTTCCAATCCTTTTATCAGTAAGGCTCTTGTAATTCACGTTTGAAGATCAGGAAAACAATATTAGACTTGCAGAGGGAGTTAATCTGTGTCCAAATCATTTTAGTTGAATTAAAATAAAAACTAAAAAAAATCTATTGACTTGTGCCAACTCTTGTTTGAGTCTGGGTTAGACTAATGCGTGGTCTGCTGTGCTGTGCGGGCATGTGAGCCACAGCTGCTGGATTTTGTTAGCTCCTGCATCTCTGATCCATGCAAACTTGAAGTCCAAGTTCTTTACCATCTCTGTGGCTCTGTTTCCCCGTCTCTGAAACGAGAGTGCTCTTTCCTAGGGGCGTTCACCGCACGCTGCTGCCTGTGGAAGCTGTCGGTCGAACGTATCGAGTACCATCGCCTGCTGTGCTTTCCACCTCGTTGGCTCCTCCGGGGTGTGCCGCCGAGCGTGTTTCCATCGGACGGGCGCCCTGTCTGAAGGAGGCCGGGGGACACTTCCAAAAAGAGACTGCTCTTTATTGAGGCTGTGGCTGGTTGCAGAAGCTCTGTGACAGTTACACTGCTCAAAAGCTGTGTGGCAGGTTGAACTGGATGAAACTTGCCTGTATATATCAAAATAACAGGAAGAATAATTTAATCCAAAAAATTTGCTTAGCTCAACGTGTTTCCGTTGGTGTTGGGCTTGCTGCTTTCAGTACAGAGGAACCTTTGTGAAGGAGGGTGCTGCTGATGTACTAGCACATTTTAGCTTGTCCTTAGGTCAAGTGCTTCTGGTCAGCTCTCTAACGTTGTCTGTTAGGGTGAGGATTTTTGGAACTGTACGTTTCTCTAAAGCTGGAATTTTTCAGATTACCTCCTTAGGATCCATCGTGCACCCAGGCATTGGACTTGTCTCCTCCTTTACAGAAGGAGGTGGCATGAAGCCTCTGTTTAAGAAATAGGAAATGTATCAGTAATTGTAATTTATTTTTCTTCAGATTCATTGTTTATTTTGTCTTGAATACAATTCTTTTTTTTTTCCCTGTCTGTTTTTTTTTTTAGGGTTTTGTTTCAGCCTCGCATTAGTTTATCTGGTTTTCTGCAGTTACTATTAACTAATATTTATTCTACATACTGTCTGTGAGAACTTCGCATTATGTCTGTTATGAGAAGTACGGGTTGAAAAGCTGAGACTTTAAGATGAACTATGTAGACAAGTTGCTTGTTACAGCCTTCTGCTTCCTCAGAGGAAATTTTGTGAAGTGCTCGGCCTGAGCCTGGTTGGTGTTTGCTCGCTTATGAAAGATGATTAACAGAAGTTTGGCACAGCGTTAGGAAGCAGAGATGAACGCTGTTCGTAACCATCTCAAAAAAGGGATGATTATAATTGCAAGAAGGCAGTTACGGAAAATGAAGCATGCAGTTGTGAATTTTCTTCCGTGCTGTGTCACTAATGCCATGCAGGCAGGCAGTTCTTCAGACCACTAGAGATATTTATGAAATCAGTCCATGATCCTGGAGATATAGAGAGGCAGTGTTGTTAGCTGGAGAAGAGTGCCTAGATGGAAAATAAAATTAATACAATTTAGAAGCAGATTGTCATAGAAAATGGATGAATTTCCTATGGTCCCCCGTTTTTGTCTGACTGCAAGTGAGAGCTGAGCGTAAAGACAGAAGAGAAAGCAAAAATGTAAATTAGCCCTTTTAGACCACAATAATATTAGAAAAAATACTTGAAAACCTAATTTATTTTTAAACCTGATTTGAAATCATGCACAATAAAATTCCAGATGAATGCAGCTTGAGCTGTTGGTGAGTTTAGTGTGGTTTTATTTGATCACACAATTCTACTTTTTCAAGCCCTTTTTGTTCTACTTTGCATGTCCCTTGCTTTTGGATCTTACTAATTTTTGCCTTCCTAAGCCATTTTGTCACACTTTTACCATTGGCTGAAGCTCTGCTGTGCCTCGCTGTCACAACCCAAGTGACTCCCGTCATGAAATCGGTCTTTGGCATAAGATTTCCTTCTTATAGGTCTGAAATGCACTTTACTTCCGACTCTTCTCTGTGCGGGTTGCCTGATCATTTGTCTGGGTTGAAGGTCCGTCTTTAAAGAACTAATATTTTGTTGCTGGCAAAAGAAAGGGGAGGTGAAGGAAGGGTCAGGGTGTGGATCAGTGTTAAACAAATTGTGAAGGTCACAAAGAATTTTAATCTGGCTTGAAAAAGAGACTTGTATCCAGCAGCACATTTTTGTTTGTGATAGTCTGAATGGACAATTGTGGCTACTTTGAGAATTTGGTGTAGACTGCATGACTGGTATGAATTGAATTAGTCTCATGACAAGGACATAGTCCCCTTTTTTTTCCTATCTGCCTGATGGAAAGCAGGAGAAAGCCCTGTGTGACACATCTTGACCCACAGTGTCACTGTGGGCTTTTGTGACAGGCTCTGATTTCTGGCTTCTCATTTGATAAAGCCAATTTGGTGGAGACTAGAAAGGAGGCGTACTGCAACACAAAATGTACTTACAGAAAAGAGTATCTGGTGGTGAGTACAGATGACTGCCATTCCATCTTAATAGTCATTAGAAAGCCAGAGTTTCTCTCTGAAAATGGGGAAAAGTGTTGGGCTCGTATAACACAGGGACACGGTCATACCGAATGATGCACTGTGTAATATCTTGCGCCGTGGTATCACCTTTCTTTGTCCTTTCGTCCAGTCATCCCTGTGCCTTCCATTTCTTCCATTTGCTTATTTCTTACATTTTTCTTTCCCACTCTTCTGCCTTCCTTTCATCATCTTACACTTCTCTCTTCTCCACACTTTGTACCCTAAACCAGAGTGAAATCGCTCCCTCTTTCCCATGCTGACGGGGCACCAGCAAAGAAATCATTGTGAGTGCTGCTTTTCCCTAGCCTGAAAACATCCCAGCTTTCTGATTTTGTGTCTGTTGCCCTCTCATTCCTGATGCCCTCCATTGGCACCGGTAGAGGGTTGCAAACTTTGAAAATTCCAGTCAAAATATTTATAGTGCATCGAAGGAAAAAGCAACTGACTGCAGGTTGTATAACAGAAAACTGTAACCTGCAGTGTTCATTGCTCTACCTGCACTCACAATGCAGATGTAATGATTTAAATTGAAACGAGTACTCGAAAGACTCTTCAAATTGCTGCTGGGTTTTTTTTTTTTAACAAGGTGAAAAATTCTGTCGTTCCCACTGATAGACAATGCAGTATTTTTTTTTCCTAAATGCAGTGGATCAAGATCTTTTCACTGTGAATTTAGAAAACTCACAAGAAGAATGATTGTCATGTTTTTCCTGAATATTAATTTCAAATAAAGCGCTGTAATCTGAGCTGGGGTAGCCAGGTACTTTTGCAGTCAGTAAACAAACAGGAGCATGGTGAGAAAATTACATTTACACTACAGGGTTGCAATTTCAAGGCGTAAGATTTGGCTACAGGTACTCTGACAGTGAATCATGGCATTGTGCCAGTGTCATGACCACATTTAAGTCATGTTTTCTGGAGGTTCTGTCATCTGTATCACAAATTCTGGTGGTTTTTGTTGGAGAGTCATTTCGGCTCATGCCACAGACCTCTAGAGGAGATAAAGAAAATTGAAAACATCGTGTGGTGTAACAAATCCAGAAACATCTACTTTTCCAAGCATGTTTAATGTTCCATTATCACATGTAGATTTGAGAAATGTTTTCTTTTGTTAATACAATGCTTTTTTTTTTTCCCTCTTCCCTTATTCAGAGACCTGAGTGAAAACCAGATAAAAGGAATCCCTAGAAAGGCCTTTCGAGGAATCATTGATGTGAAGAACTTGTAAGTGACAACTTCATTAATATTTGTGGTGAAAAACATTCTCCCTAGGTTACATCTGGCTGTTACTATTTGTTCGAGTACCGTGTGGTTAGCTCTGCGCGACACAAAAGGGAGCTGTGGACCCTGCTGCGCACAGCATGTTATTGTCAAGGGCCTCACGTGCTGCTTTGGTCTGTGTATACACTGTGCAACACACCTGGGGGAAGTTTTGGCAAAGAAAAAAGTATTCTTCGAGGCTTTACCCCTCCCTGCAGTATTGTCCTGCAAAATCCGGTGAAATCACAGTCCAAGCCTTGAAGCCAGATATGCATAAGAAAAGAACTGGTAGAGTTTGGGGGTGAAATTGAAATATTTCACTTAGGTTAAATTTTCTGTCCTACCACTTTGGTGGGAAGTAGATTTGGCAAAATGTGGCACACAGGCACAGTAGTTGAGCTCAAATATCAGAAAATGAAAAAATAATGTGGGAAATGAACTGTGCGTGCTTTGGCAGTTTGTATTGAAAGTTAAAATAATTTTTAAAGCCATTAGAGAGAAAAGCAGGTTTTTCTGTTTGTGCTAATCCAGCTAGTCTGTCCTAGCCATTTTCTATAACGTATAGTCTGAAATATGTGTAAATAAAGGCTTTCAGCTCTGTATTTCCAGAGCTGCTAGAAGCTCTTACATGTTACGTACCAGAAATGCATTTTTGTGCACACCCACACACTAACGCACCATTGGCATCATTAGAGTCAACGCAAGGTGAATTGAAAAAGGAAATAACAGCCAGCAAGTTGGCAGAGAGTCAGGATTTCCTGAGAAAACTAGCAGCCGCTCTCAGAACCATTTCAGAGCCATTAGTATTAGCACTGTGTTACCACACCAGTAGCGGAAATCTGATACCCCAGTGTGTTAAATAATGTAAGCGTAGAATAAATAGTGTGGATTTTTTTTTGTTTATTTAGTAGAAGAACCAAATGAAGGAGATATAAAAAGAAGCACTTTTCTATGAACAGTCTTGCAAAATACCTGTGCTCTGTTTTCATTTCGTGCCTTGATGAACAATCTCTTCAGTGTCCAGACTACTTTTTTTTTTTTTCTTTCTATAGACAGCATGGAAACTGTTAAGGGCAGTCAACATGAGTCAGAGCATGACCATGTCTGTATCCAAGGGCAAAGCACGATTCTTGTACTCTTGGTGGTGATGCTGTGTTGCAGGGAATATCACATCACTGGGGTTTGTGCAAGGGATGCAAAAGACCAAAGCAGGACTTCCCCCAAACTGGAAAACATAGACACAGGAGCAATGCTGCGAGATGGCCCCAGCGCTCTCTGAGCACTGTGCAAGGTTGCTTTGGAGACTTTGGGACAGACAGAACACGAAGACATGTCCTATAACACCTACAGCTGTTTCTGCAGGCGTTCAGCATACTAAGCTTGTGTTTCTTCAATGGTCTGTTACTTACTTCATGTATGTTCAATAGTGACTTTAGCTTTTTGGGTGTGAAGGCTTTTTTACCTGAATGTCAGCTTGAGAAAACACATCTTGAGGAGCCATTTAAACTCTTCTAAGCCTCCTTTTCAGTGGAGGAGCGTCAGAGGACCTGCGTGAACAGGTCTAGTTTTTAAGACACAGGAAAACACTGGAGAATATAGTTTATAGGGGGAAGAAGTTTGTGTATTTTAGACAGAAGTGTGGCTTTCATGTTAGCATGAACTTTACTTCCACTGTGTAATCTAAAGGAAGAATAGACGGTGCTTTGTTTCAGAAAATCTAACTTTCCTAGCTATAATTCACTGTTAGTTGTCTAACTTCATTTAAAATAGCAACGCTTGCATTCGGAGTTGATTTTACCTCTGGGAAGCTCTCAGAAAAATCACAGGTGTTCTTTGATTTATGCACCCACTCTCAGTGCAGAAGGAACCAGGGTCTCACCTTTACGTGAGCTGATAGCAAGGGATGGATGGCTGGAGTGCTTAAAGGAACTCTGTAAATGTTCGGATCTAAAGCTTTAACATAAAATTGTGACTATCAAGTTAGGCAGTATCTATTATTTTACTGTAAAAGACAGCGTATCAGAAATGCTTCCCCATAGCCACTGTTTCTGTCTTTCAGTAATACTGAAGTTATCAGAGAATCATAAAATCATTCTGGTTGGAAGTGACCTCTGGAGGTCATCTAGTCCAACCGCTGGTTTAGCAGGAGCACAAAGCTTAGTAGGCTAATTAATAGATTTGCTGATATGAGCCACGAGTACTGATTGTTAGATCAAAGCAGGAGAAGCAGAGTTTTCACTCAGATGTGTAGTCATTTTTTTTGATAAGGGATGGATGAATTGTGTATCCAGGGTGGTTCATTACAGCAGGTGACTTGCTTCCAGACACAGACTAGCAGCCTATGAGTTGCTGAGAAAAAATGTGGCAAAACCTTGAGCCAACTTGCTGCTGGAAGCGCATTAAAATTTCTGCAGCAATAACTGTAAGGGATGATGCAAGTTGAACCAAGTTAATATTTAAAGCTCTTAAAGCTTTAAGCAGTAGGCTTAAACATGCCAGTTCCCATTCTCAGTCTAGGTTTGGCAGCCGAATCGCTCCCTTCTGAGTCACAGAAATGACCATGCCAACGAGCGCGAGTGTTCAAGCACCTCGAGGAGGAGAATGAGTCTTTGCCTTTCGGTGCCGTTCAGCTGTTCGAACACCTGCACTGCTAATTGCTCGGGGGCTCTCCGACATGCATGCACTGATGTGAGAGCAGCGGGGCTGGCCGTTTCTGTGGTTATCGTTTGCAGATATATTGTACTGTCTCGGAGTTCTTCCACCTTATACAGCATGTTTTTGAGGGATCTTGGAGACTTTTAGACATAAGAAGTAAAGTTACGTGTTCTCCCGCACTCCTAAGCCCTGTCCAATTTATCTTTAAAATTAATATAGGGAAAGGTGGGCATGGAATTGTCTCTGTTTTCATGGCTTGACATTTAACATGGCCTCAAATTCTTCCAGTTTCTACATAAAGTGTCCAAATGTCATGGCAAAAATAATATCTCTGCAGATATTATAATAGGGACACAGCAAGTGCTAGACCACGTGAACGTCTCCAGATTAATGCTGTCTTTAACAGCAGTTGTTTGGAAAGCTTCCCTCAGGAAAAAATGCAGAGAAGTTGATGCAACAGACTAAGCAGGGGCATGAATTCCTTCCGGATACAGGCTCCGAAACACTCAGCCTAAGGGCTTGATATAAATGACAGTGGGTGCCATTTGACAACCCTGTGAGAACTACCTTATCTCAGCATGGCCATAGCAGGAAGCAACACCAAGGGGCAGGCTGTGTCTGGTTGGAACATACTGGTGTAAAAAAAAATTAATTCCTGAATTTAAGGGACGAGGTGCTTCTGCATGTGCTGAGGGATGAGAGTCCTTGGTGATGTCCCTCGAGCACCAGGACTGCAGAACTGGCTTGGTACCAATACGATTTCAGGCATTTAAAAAAAAAAAATAAATGTTAAGATGATAGGAAAGAAAAAAAATTGTTACAGAAAGCAGTGTTTAAGGATATTTTTCACCGTGCCTTTTCTTTTAAATGGTAAAAGCTTTCTATCTTTTGTCATTCTCTTAGCAGAGCAGTGAGCCCAGGAAAATGGGCTCGCATATGGGCTGTACTGAAGAAGAACTTTTAATCGTCAGGGAGGCCAATGGTTTTGCACGAGACAAAGCCAAAGCAGAGGCTGGCAAGATAAAGCTTTAAAACTCCCAAGTGGGAGAAATTTTGTTGTGTGAATTATTTTCATATGAAGTGTTTTCTGCTGTTTGACTATAAAATCAAAGGACAAATCTGTACACAAAGAAAAAAATTCTATTTCTAATTAAAATACAGAAATAATTATACAGCTTTTAGAAAGTTTCATGAACACGTAATGTCCATTACTAGTCGTGAACATTAGGGGAACTGGACGTAAACTGACACATTGAACGTATTGTAGAATAGATGCATAAATGCTGCTCAGGGGTCCTGAAAGAGTTGAACAAGAAAGGGCAGGAGAGGGCCAGCTTGCGGGGCACACCTGTATTCAATTTCTGTTACTTATTACTTGGAGAACAGGAAATGTTTCTTGCAGGAATCTAGCCCCAAGTAAGCACACTTATTTCAAGAATTAAAGTATGTGGATTTGGGTCTTGTTGAGCTTTGGGCAACTCAGCACTGTCAGCTATGGCCTTCCATCATAAAAATATATGGAGCTGCTTCTTGGATTTCTGCACGTTTACCCTACTTGTATGACATCTTGGCATCCAGCGTTTCTCTGGTGAGGCATTCCTGCAGGTTCTGTTGAATTAGCCTGCCCAGCCCACCTTACTGAGGGCAGCCAGGTTCTCAGAATAGGAATATGCAGAGGTGGACTCAAATAAAGATCCCGTAATGGCAGCAACTGTTCTTTTAGGGCATTGCTTGTGGTTATGGGCAGTACGCTCCCAGCTCTTCCTCTCGCCGTGCCCTCTTCAGGACTGTCAAGCTGAACATAACCAATTGAGATGCGTGGGGATCGCAAAGTGTTGTAGGAATGTGGTTCTTGGAGGCATGATAATATTGGGGATGTTTGTGTTGCAGAGATCATTCCCCCATAAGAAATGCACAGGACATTTCAAAGAATTACTCTTCCTGGCAAATTGCTGCCCTGTGTCCTTTTGCCATCTCTTGACAGAAGTTTATTCCTTTATTTTGCAGCATTGCTGTAAGGAAAATTCAATAGCCTGAGACTTACCAGCAGCAGAGATCTGTGTGAAACTAAAATGCCAACACTCTGGTCGTGTGTTTCCCTGAGTCTTTGCTCCTTTGTCACCCATTCCTATCTTGCGCCTTTCAGACTGAAGGAAAAGCTACTTCTGTAAGCGGTGAGAGCGCAAACATACATCTCGCATACATACAGAGTGCACAGACTTGGTGTCAGGGTCTAGGTCTGTGCAGCCTCTGTGACCCACATCAAGGAGCAAGTGCTGGTGGCAGGGCTGGGTGGGTAGGAAGTGGCC